AAATCCCCACATTTCCAGGGAATTCCAAGGTTTTTCCCAATTCTCCTCATCCCACCGGTGTCCCTTTCCCATCTTTTCCCTTTTTCTCGTATTTTTTCCCCGTTCTCTCCTGTTTTTCCCATTCTTTATCCATTTCCCTCTGGTCTTCCTGTTTTTCTCCCCATTTCTCCTTGGTTTTGTTTCTCTTTTTTCCCCCATTTTTCCCTCTTTTCCCCCATTTTCTCCCCATTCTCCCCCATTTCCCCCCCGCCATTTTTCCCCGTTTTTTCCCCATTTTTCCCCATTTTTGTCCCCATTTCTCTCACGCAGTTCTCCGGCAGCAGCTGCTGTACGGGGCCGATGGCAGCAGCGCGCTCCGAGCCACGCGCCGCGTCCGGGCCAGCAACGGAGCCTGGGGACAACCGGGGGACAACCGGGGGACAGGGACAGGGGACAGGGACACGCTCGGGTCAGGCCGTGCCCACTTGGGGACACACCCAAAGGTCACACCCACACGGAACCACACCCACAGAGGCCACGCCCACCCGGGCCACACCCACCTGCACAGCTGGGGCCACCCCCGGGGCCACCCCCGGGGCCACCCCCGGGGCCACCTGCGGTCCCTGCGGGGCCACCTGGGCAGAGCGGGGCCGGCCGTAGGATCGCTGCAGGCCTGGGGACAGAGAGGGGACACCTTGGGGACACCTTGGGGACAGCAGGAGGGGAGGAGACATGGGGGCAGGTGACACGGGGACAGACACAGGGACAGGACAGGTGACACAGGGGACATGGGGACACGGGGAGCCCGCACTCACTGTCCAGGTGTTTCCTGCCCGCCCTGTGCAGCACCAGGGTCTGCAGAGTGTCACACACGGGCCGGTGGGGACACAGCGAGCACGCCAGCCTGGGGACAGCGAGGGGACACCTTGGGGACACCGTGGGGACCCCCCAAACCTGTGCCCAGGGCAGGGTGACACTGCCAGGACCCCCCAAATCCAGGCCAAGGGGACGGTGACAATGCCAGAACCCCCCCAAAGCTGTGCCAGGGGACTTGGGGACACCAGGGGACACCAGGGGACACCAGGGACCCTCACCTGCCGTCTCGCAGCAGCAGCGCCTCGTCCTCGGGGATGGCGCTGGCCAGCAGCTCGGCCACGCGGCGCTTCTGGGGACAGCAGGGCCACCCCGGGGTCACCCAGGGCCACCCTGTCCCCAAATTGTCCCTCACCCTGTCCCCAGACTGTCCCTCCTTGGCAAAGGGACCCTGGGGACACCCAGGGAAGGGTTGGGAGGACGGGGGGGACACAAAGGGACACCCAGGGAAGGGTTGGGGGTTCCGGGGGAGTCAGGGAAGGGCTCAGAGGAGACCCGGGGGAACCTCGAGGGGACACGGAGGGACCCAGGGAAGGCCTCAGGGGACCCGAGGGGTTCAGGCCGCACCCCCGGGGGCGCGGGGAGGCCGGGGCTGGGGTTGGGGGGTGCCCGGGGAGGGGTCCCGGGGGGTTCCGGCCCCACCTGAAGCGCCCCGAGCGGTCCCGGGTCGCTCTCGTCGCGCTTAAACGACATGGCAGCTACCGCTAGGCCGCAATTACCATGGCAACCACCGCCGCCGCTTCCGGGTGGCCCTTCCCAACGGGCAGTGCGGGGGGGAAACAACCAATCAGCGAGCACTCAGCGCGGCCCCCGCGGCATGACGGGAGTTGTGGTTCAACCGCGGGAAGCCTCCGCGGGAATGGCGGCGGAAATGGCGCGGACGGAACTACAACTCCCAGAAGGCGCCGCGAGGCCGCGCCGGTTCGGAGGGGCTCGGGGCCGAGCGCGCCCCGTGAGCGGCGGGGCCGGGCCGGGACCCCGGGGTGGGACCCCCGGGCCGGACCCCCGGACCGGACCCCCGGGCGGGCCATGGCGGGGAGCGGCGGAGCCGGGGCGGCCCCGCGGGAGCACCGCCTGCAGCCCGGGGACACCCTGCCGGGGCTGGCGCTGCGCTATGGGGTGACGGTGAGCGGGGGACACCGGGGGGACACCGGGGGAGGGGAGGCCTCAGGGCTCATCCCGGGCCTGTCCTGGCCCGGTTCACTTCGCTCGCGCGTCCTGGTCCGTGTCCCCATCCCGTCCCTGTCCTTATCTCGCTCCCATCCCTGTTCTGTCCCTATTCTTGTCCCCATCTCATCCCTATCCCTGTCCCATCCCATTCCATAAATCCCCGTCCCAATTCCCCAATCCCAAATCCCGATCCCGCAGATGGAGCAGATCCAGCGCGCCAACCGCCTCTACTCCTCGGACACGATTTTCCTGAAACCCACGCTGCTCATCCCGGCCCCTGCTCGGCCCCCGGGGCCCTGGGACCGGGACAGTGCCGGGGACATTGCCGGGGACAGTGCCGGGGACAGTGCCGGGGACAGTGCCGGGGACGTTGCCGGGGCTGTCCCGGTGCCCCCCAGCCCCTCCCGTCATGACCTGACGGCCTCGGATTTCCTGCGGCGCTTGGACGCCGAGATCGGCCGCTCCAAGGAGGCGGCGGCGCAGCGGCTGCAGAGCCACGACTGCAGGTGGGAACTGGGGGAAACTGGGCCAAACTGGGAGGGAACTGGGGGGAAAACTGGGAAAAACTGGGGGAGAAATGGAGGAAAATTTGGGGAGGAATTGAGGTGAAGTTGGGGCTTCTCGGGTGCTCCAAGGAGGCGGCGGCGCAGCGGCTGCAGAGCCACGGCTCCGGGTGGGAACTGGGGGGAAACTGGAGGAAAAAATTGGGGAAAAAATGAGGGAGAAGTTGGGGTGAAATTGGAGCAAAATTGAGGCTTAACTTGGGAAAAATTGGGGGGAAATTTGGGAAAATCGGGGTGAAACTGGGAAGAAAATCGGGGGAAATTTTGGGGGGAAATTGGGGTGAGACTGAGGTGAAATGGAGGAGAGCGGCGGTGAAGTTGGGGTTGCTGTCCCCGGGGTGGTGGCAGCGCCACCCTGGTGCCACTGGTGTGTCCCCACAGCCCCGGGGGTGGCCCCAGCCCCGCGTCCCCTCGGGGGGCCCGGCTGGGTCCCCGTCCCCTCACCAGGACCCCGCGGGCGGCCGCGCTCAGGGACAGCGAGGACGAGATCTTCACCTTGTGACAGCGGGGACATCCCTGGGGACATCCCTGGGGACACTGGGGACACCGGGGACAGCGAGGACGAGATCTTCACCTTGTGACAGCGGGGACATCCCTGGGGACATCCCTGGGGACATTGGGGACACAAATGGGACACCGGGGACAGCGAGGACGAGATCTTCACCTTGTGACAGCGGGGACAACCCTGGGGACATCCCTGGGGACATTGGGGACACCAGGACTGTGACACTGGGGACACTGGAAGTGGAGAACTGGGGACACTGGAGATGTGACATCGAGGACATCGGGGACACCGAGAACCCTGGGGACACCCGGGATGTGACACTGAAGACACCTGGGAGGTGCCACCGCTCCTCCCTGGCCGTGCCGAGGACCCTGGAGGGGACACGGGGACTTGGGGGCGGTGTCCCCTCCTGTCCCCTCCTGTCCCTTCGGGGCCACTCCCGCGGAACTGGGACTTACTGGGAGCCACTGGGACCCCCTGGGGACAGGGACAGGGACAGTGCCACCCCCCTGGCAGCTTGTAAATAAACCGGAGCATTGTCACCCGTCTGGGCTTTGGGGACACTGTGACACCCCCAGGAAAATAAACACCCCAAATCCCGTAAAATAAACCCCAAAATCCCATTTAAAAACCCAGATCCCATTAAATAAACCACCCCAAATTCCATTAAAAACACCCCAAAATCCATTAAAAAACCCAAATCCCATTTAAAAAGAAACCTAAATCCCACTAAAAAACACAAAATACCATAAAATAAACCCAAATCCCATTAAAACACCGAGTCAGAAATTCGGGAATTCTTCCCAGCTTCCAGCGCCCCCCCGGGCTCTGTTATTTATAATATTTATATATGGACCCCCCCCCCCCCGGGATTTTGGGGGAAAAACCCGGGATTTTGGGAAAATCCAGGATTTGGGGGGGAAATCCCGGAATTTTGGGGGAAAAATCCAGGAATTTTGAGGGAAAAATCCAGGATTTTAGGGGAAAACCTCAGGATTTTGGGAGAAAATCCCAAAAGTTTGGGGGAAAATCCGGGATTTTGGGGAAAACCCCAGGATTTTTGGGGGAAAATATTGAAACTTTGGGGGAAAATCTGGGATTTTGGGGGAAAAACTCAGAATTTTTTGGGAAAATTCAGGATTTTGAGGGAAAATCCAGGATTTAGGGGGAAATGCAGGATTTTTTGGGGGAAAATCCCCAAATTTTGGGGAAAAATCCGGGATTTTTGGGGGAAAACCTCAGGATTTTGGGGGGGAAACTCCAGGATTTTTCTGGGGGAAATTCCTGGGATTTTGGGGGGGAAAATCCCGGGATTTTGGGGGTGCCACCCCCCCCCGATTGTCGCCGTGTCACCCCCGATTGTCGCCGGGAGGGGGGAGGGGACACCCGGGGGTATTTACAGGGTGGGGGAGGGGCGTACGTACATATTTATAGGAATTTTTTTCTTCTTTTTTCGGGGGGGGGAAAAAAAAAAAAAAAGGGGAAATTCCCAACAAAGTGCATTTGTCCGTCTGTCCGGATGTCCGGGGGGGAATTCCCGCGTGGAATTCCCTGGAAAAATCTTCCGGGGATTGTGGGGGGAGGGGAGGGAAACTCCAGCCCATCCCCCCCCCTCCCGGGTTAAAGGTGGGCGGGGCTGTCCGAGCCTGGAAAAAAAAATAAAATAAAAAGGGAAAATAATGGGAAAAAATTGGAAATAGCGGGGAATTAATGGGGAATAATGGGGAAAATAATGGGGAAATTAATGGGAAAAATAATGGGGAATAATGGGAATAAATTGGGAATAGTGGGGAATTAATGGGGGTGTGAGCAAGGGGACGTGGGGGGACATGAGGGGACACTAAGGGGGACATGGCCCGGGGTGGCCCGGGGTGGCCCGGGGTGGCCCCGGGCTCTCACCTGTGCCGGGGCTGGCAGTGCCACGCTGTCCCCGCGGGGCCCGGGACGAGCACGAGCTGTGGGGGGCCCGCCCGGGGACGGGGCTGGGGACACTGGGGACACTGGGGACACTGTTGGGGACACTGGGGACGTTGTTGGGGACGTTGTTGGGGACGTTGTTGGGGGTGGTGGCATCTCCACCCCCCAGCGAGCGCAGCAGCTGCCGGTGAGCGACTTCCAGGGCCTGGGGGGACACAGTGGGGACAC